GGCTCAAAAAGTCTACTGTTCTGTCTCAAAATGGTTCTCCCAATCTGAGTGAAATTCTCTAGCTAGACATTCACTGTTCTTGAGTAGAAACGCATCTTTGTGATGCAGATCTTGGAAGGGGAAACAGTTTATGTTGTTGGTACTGTTTCTTTTCTCCTTAACCACACATAATAAGCATTTGGACATGTGGGGCAAAAAAAGGAGAAACTATTTTTGGAGCAGAGAATGCCTCAATTGGGCAGCAGGGGGTTACTGAGTGCCTTTTCTTATTGAAGCACAGACAGGAGTTTTAAAAAGGATTCAAAGCATAATTTAACCTTTGAATCCTTTTTTTTTTTAAATTAAATAACTATAATTTAAGAAGTAAAAATGCATTTGAGAAGTTTATTTTAAAATGTATTTTTTCAATGGCTCTGATTTGCCTAATATACTGCATTTGCTAATGCTCTTCCAAAGTACATCTTTTAGAAAGCAAAGATATCCTGCTAATAACAGCCATTTTGTCAAGAATGACAGCATGTCATTATTTTACTCACAAAACAAGATGATATAACACCAAGTTATAACGATGAAGCACAAATTATATTTCACAAAAAAGTATAACTTTTAATTCATTTGAGAACATAATTATAGTATATCATATCTTCTCAGGTTTCACAGAAATGCCCTAAGTAATTAGGCTGTATAGACACTAAGAATTTGAAAGTGTTATTACTTTTTTATAAAACTGTTGCAGTTTTATATACAGAAAATTATTTACAGTTTAATAGCATTGAAGACTTCTTTTGTTTAATATACTTGCTTAACATAGATCACTCAGTGATTCAGATTATACTAGATGAAGTCTGGAGGCTACTCATAGGGGCCTAGTATTTTATAATTTGATTGTCTTGCTTCCTAGATCATAATGATATCACCTTTTGGCTTTCTTTGCTGAACTTCCAGAAGACCTGTTCTATAAAATGTTTTACTTCACTTATTTTAGCTTCCAACCATAATTGCTAGGGTGGAATAACATTCTAATAGCTTTCACAACTGTGAAGTTAATGCTATTTCTGTTTTGTACATCAGGCTGCAAAGAAGCTCCTTCAGCAAGAGTTTTCTTTAGACTAAGGATAGGGTGCTCTGCTAGGAGTAAGGCAAGAACTGTGATTAATAGGCAAAAGGTTAAGGATAAAAGAGCCTTGGAGTTAGCAATATAATTTTCAAATTGATGAGAAGGAACCAAAACTCACAATGGACAAAGCGATTGCAAAAAAATATCCGTCTGCTCTGAATTAGTTTAGGTCTCTTGATGTAGATGAGTTATATTCCTGGGGACTGACAGCACCTTTGAATGGGATTGCAGAGCCACTCTAGGTGATCTTTGAAGACACACAGGGAGTAAGAGGATAAACATACAAATGCTATTCAATGTATAAAACAACCATAAACTACAACCGGTGAACTCAACTTCAATTTCAGGCAGGATTCTAAAATATACTATCAAAGGATGATTTATGAGAATATATTAGAGAAAGAATAAAATTGGGCCAGTTTTATGTTCATTAAGAGAACCAAAAGGTAGACCTTGCTCTTCAATTTTGTATAGAGTTATGAGATCCAGGAACAGTAGTAGGCATCAAATATATGGACCTTTTGAAGGCATTTGACAAATCTTGTCAATATTTCTGAAAATAATACATATAGGCTGGTTACAAAGATAATTGGGTAGATGAATAACAAGTTGAAGAGTCATACCTGAAATATGCTGAGTGATGGGTCAGCATCAACCAGGGAGATAGATATGATGTGAACTTCTGTCCTCAACTTTGTCATAGTCAACATTTTTTTATCCATGAATTCTAGAGTTACTAGATCCAGTAACTGGAGTAGACACAGGATATATGGACTTTATGAAGACATAGGGCAAATTTTGTCATAATATTCCTGAAGATAGTATGAATAAATGTAGGCTGGTTTCAAAGATAATTTGGTAGTTAGCCCTAAAGGTTTCCTAAATGTCTGTGTCTTCAATACTTACAGGCCTAAATGGATCATTCCCAGTTTAAGGCTTATTTCTTCTGGGTGTGATATCCAATCCTCTTCCACCTGCCAGCCATGGGTAGGGTGGGTGAGTGGAGGGCATTTTGGTCTCATTACTACATAGAAAGCCAAGACTGTGGAAGATAGATCTGTAAGAAAGGTGGAAAGCAGTGGATTGTTATATTCAGTACAATGAGATGTGGTTTTGCAGTGCAGTATTTTTAAATGACTTTATTTAACATAAAAGACAGTTATAGTATATAATAGCAACAAAATTGCTAAAAGTACAAGAGATCACTGTAATCTAGGGTTGCATTAGAAGATATTACTAATGATACTACTAATGAGATATTGGAAAGAGGGAAGTTTTGAGTACTCTCTTATTCTGCTTCAGTGAAACCAGCCACTCTGAAGTATTCAATTCTGGGTATCATATGTAAAACAGATGTAGAATCCAGGAACAAGTTCAGAGAAAATTATCTAGAATGAGAAAGAAATTAAAAACCATGTCGTAATGGAAATAGCTGTAGGAATTAGAAGTTGACCTGGGAAAAGAAGATAAGGAGTGTTCCTGATAGTTGTCTTCAAATATAAGAAAGAGGTGTGTGGTTGTTCCACGTGATTACTAGATTTTGGGCCAGTAGACACTCTAGGCAGGCAGATTTGGGGTCAGCATAAGAAAATTTCCTGACAAACAGTTAGATGATGCAACAAGCTGCTTTACAAAGCAGTTTTCCGTCATTTGAGGTGTTGAAAACTTTATCTAGGTTGGAGTAGACTCAGTAAACGCATCCAGGGCTTGAACCAGGTTATCTTCATGATTTTTTTTCAAACCTGTTATTTTCTGCCGAAACTGGTTTGGCTCAGTGGTAGAGTGTCAGCCTGTGGACTAAAAGGTCCCGGGTTCGATTCCGGTCAAGGGCATGTACATTGGTTTCGGGCACATCCCCACCAGGGTCTGTTCAAAAGGCAGCTGGTCGATGTTTCTCTCTCATCACCATTTCTAGCTCTCTATCCCTCTCTCCTCCTCTCTGTAAAAAATCAATAAAATATATTTAAAAAAAAACAAAACCTGTTATTTCCTAAATCTACACTTTGGTATTAGTGGCAGTTAGATGATTGATGAAGTCATTCATTGATTTTCTACATTATTATATTTTGGGGTGGCATTTATTAATAAACTTATATAGGTTTCAAGTGTATAATTCTATGATATATTGTCTGTATATTACACTGTGTGCCCACCACCCAAAGTCAAATAATCTTTCATCACCATATATTTTACCCCCTTGAACCTTAATTAGTCTCCCAACCCCCTTCCTTCTGGTAACCACCATACTGTTATCTGTGTCTATGAGTTTTTGTTTGTTTTTCTTCTTTGTTCACTTGTTTCTTTCAGTTTTATATCCCACACATGAGTGAAATCATATGGTTCTTAACTTTTTCTGACTTATTTCACTTAGCATGATATTCTCAAGATCCATCCATGTTGTTGAAAATGGCAGTATTTCATCTTTTCTTATGGCTGAGTAGCATTCCATTGTATATCGGAGGAAACTTCAGTTGTTTTCCATGTCTTGGCTACTGTGAATAATGCTGCAATACACATAGGGGCTCATCTATCTTTGTGAATAAGTGTTTTCAATTTTGGGTGGTAGATAACTATATTCTTTATTTTTTGAGGAGCCTCCATATTGTTTCCTATAGCGCCTGTACCAATTTACATTCCCACCAGCAGTGAATGAGAGTTCTTTTTACTCCACAACCTCTCCAACACTTGTTATTACTTGTTGATAATAACTATTCTAACATTTGAAATTTTTATTATTGAAGTTTAAATGTACAAAATTTTACTGTATAAAAATTTATCATTAGTTTGTTTTAACCTAGTCTTGTGTAATAGCATTGATAAGCACATAAGGTGGCCTCACTTTTAGTTACAGGAGTCATTTCTACAGTCTTAAGGGAAGTTACATTAGGAGTAAGTACTTTGTTTATAATCCAAGTGTTGTTTTCTTTCCAGTGCCCTGGAGCAAATATTTAATGAAGCTGTCTCTTTTCCTTTGTGAATAGCAAGACAAGTAAAGGTTACTTGAAAAATATTTATGTACTTGAGACAAAAAATAATTAACTCTCTTTTGACTTTACTAAAACTATATTTTGCTGCCCCAATGTTGTCCAGAGATATGTGGACATTATATCTGAAGAAAGTAAAAGAATTTAGCTGACATCCACTTTGTAGATAAATATGATACAAATGGTTACAGACATGGATATTGGTTTTAAATAGAACTGGGTTTAATCCTCGTGTCTTCACCTACCAGCTGGTTATAAACTTCAATAGTCTCCTTTTCCTTATCTATAAAATGAGTACAACCATAACTCCCTGCGGGGAAAGAACTAATTTAGGGAGAAGAGATTAGGTCCAAACTATTTTTCTTCTTTGTGGTTTTATGATAGAAAGTAAAGTTCTGTAAAAATCATAAAATGTTAAAACTGAACAGGAACTGAGAGTTCATTTGGTTCAGTGGGCTAATTTTATAAATGAGGAAAATAAGACCGGAAAAAGCCAAGAGGCATCTCCAGACTCATGGTGCTGTTGGCAGGGAAAGGCCAATGCTTTCTTCCCACTCCATGGAAAACTCATCTTAAAACAAGAATCGTTACTATGTTCTCATCCTTTTTGTTTTATTTTACGGAAAATATTTCAAGAGCAAGTCTTTCTTAGAGATACCATGGAAAAATAATTACTCTGTAAGATTCTTTTCTAATTCCAAGATTTTGTATCAGAATCAATATCATGGCAATTTAAAAAAATTTAATCCAGATATAAGCAATGTCATAATTATCACTCCATGACATAGTACAGTGTACAATTACTTTGACAAGCATAGTTGCAATAACATCTTCTGTTGGGCTTCATTTCTTCAGATTTAAAAAATACCATTTTAGTAAATTTATATTCTATTTTCTAGATGCCCCCTGAAGAAAAGGTTTGTAAATACTGTGGAGTCAGCTATCTAATTCTTCATGAATTTAAAGCTATGGAAGAAAAAGTGAAAGCAATGGAAAAAGAGATGAAATTTTATCAAGGAAGTGTAGAACGTGAAAAGAAACTTCAAGAAAAGCTACATTCTCTTAGCCAAGATTTTGAACAATACAAAATTGACAATGACTCCAAAACAGAAAGGTTGGAAATATGTTATTCTTTTCTGTTATTTATTTAGTTTGAAGAAAAGTATAGACAATAGATTTTCAATGTTCTTCTAGAATTTTTCTGTATCAGGTATAATTAATACTTGAATACATGTTAATTTTTATTATTAATAATTAATAAATGTAATTATTAATTATAGTTTGAGTATTATTTTAGACATACATTTATTTCAGAATGATTAGAAACCAATTAATTTAGTAGCCGTAAGTTGAGATAGGTTAAGTTTTATTTTTCCCCAGTTATATCTTAATTTTATCATTAGGAAGATTTGTCTGTCAAAAACTAGGTGAGTTTTGGCAGTTTCTGATGCCTAACCTTTGTTTTAAATGCCCTTGAATCTAAGTCACTGAAATTGGAAAAAAATTAAATAATAGGTTTCGAACACTATCAAATCTAATCCATTTAGTCTATCTCAAGACACTTCAATGAACTTGTACAGACACTTCTAGAGAAGGTTTTTTCCTGGAGTTTTATGGATTTACATTTTTCCCATGGAATATTTCTCCATTTAAAATATCAACAGTTGGTGTTAATAAACCTTGAATTAATTAATTTAATGAATATCATCATGTCTTTACAAAAATAGAAACTTTCTTAAATCTCTTAGGATTAAGTACTTCTATAACATTTTATTACAAATTTTAATAATTACATTAAATGTCAATTGAGTCCAATGTTTTGTAGTTCTTTACCAAAGAAATTTTGTTATAATTTTTTAAATTTTAAATCTGAATAACAAAGTATTTTATACTATTTGAGTGGGGGGGGGAAACTTAAAGTATTCAGTTTAAAATTTAGTGGTTTTCTTGCCTGTCAGAGATGCTTTTTTTTGGTGTTTATTTATACTTTCTTTTCCTTAATGTGTTGTTTTAGTACATAAACACACAAAATAAAAGATGTATATGGGAGAAAAGGCAAGAAAGTCCCTTTTTATCCTGCTGATTGCTTTTTGCTGGAAATAAACCCACTTTTAATGGTTTGGTGCATATTCTCCAGTATGCTTTACCTTTATTATAGATACATTTATTTAATATACGTAATTTATATAAGCCATATAGTTTTTAAAATGGTTATCATTAATAAATCAACAAACAACAAATGTTGGCGAGGATGCGGAGAAAAGGAAACCCTTGTGCACTGTTGATGGGAATGCCGATTGGTGCAGTCCCTGAAGAAAGCAGTATGGAGTTACCTCAAAAAAATTAAAAATAGAACTGATGGATTTTCTTGGTTCTGGAATGATGATTGATTTTCCATTGAATCCTGTTTATTTTGGAGGTTATCCTATGAGACTTTGGATCCTATTGAAAAAAAATATATATATATATACACACACACACACACACATACTATATATAAAAAATATATATATACATATATGTATGTATGTATGTATGTATGTATCTATGTATTTAGCAGGTACTCCCTCTGTTGAGGTATAGCATGATAGCCAGGTGAGTATGTTTTTTTCAGCTTCCTACTGTCCTGCCAACACTGCCTTGTATCAGACTGCTGGAGTGAAGGGCCATCCCTTGGCCCCATTCGCATTTTGCCAGCCAAAGTAGATCAGCAGCTTACACTGCCTGTGTCTCTGCAGGGCTATATAAGATCAGCTCCCTGCTGTTGAGCTTACTGTCACCAGGGAGGCAGGGAATCAGAAGACTGACTCACAATGTTTTGTTGCAGCAGGGTAGGGGCAGAAGCTTGGCTCCTGCTGACACCAAGGGATGGGAAAATACCAACCAGCACTGCCTTCCCTCACTTGATTCTGCCTTGTTGATGCCAGATGCAAGTGGAGGCTCAGCTAGTCTCACTGGCACCAGTGATAGGGAATCAGAGTGTTGACTCCTCTGTCTCTCAGCACCTTATTCTACCTCTTTGATGCAGGGAGGGCTGGAGGCTCTCTATTGAGACCCTTTGACAGGATGTGAATGGGGAGCAGCATTAGGAGTCCTGGTTTTCACTGCTTCGCTTGGCCTCTTTGCTGCCAGTTGGGTTTGGAGGTTTAGTTCCCCACTGGATCTCACTGACACAAGGAATAGAAGGAAAATGGAGTACTTACTTCTACCAACGTGTACTTTGTAGACTCACTGGTGCAGGGTTTGATAGAGGCTCAACTCCCCATTGGCCTAGCTGACACTACTCTGTTTGGGGAGTTGAAACATAGCTTGCTTCTGAAATAGGATAATGAAAAATTGGCTTCCAACTCACCCTACTGACTCACCAGTTAGGTAGATTGGGGCGCACTACCTGTTTCTGTGGGATAGGGGTGGTATGGTGTAGAAGATCAACTCCTTGCTCAGCTGCAGCCCTGATGAAGCTATGTGTGAAGCTATGAAGTGCGGAGGTACAGTTTATAGTTGATGTTTGGCTGGAGAAGATATTGCAAAGAATGCTTTCTGTTGTTGAGCCATTCTTTTCCTGATAAGTTAAGTAGATCGGACATTTTAGGGAGAATGTCTTTTGTGGTTTTTTTTTAGTGTGGCTTGTAGGTGATTCTAGGTTGGAAACTTTTGAAGGACCCTGCCTGGGAGATTGAGAGACAATAAGGAAACTCAGGGATCTCCTTGCCTTGGTGTTTGTCAAGTCCCAAGGCCACTTGCCTTCTTTCCATCTTTCAGAGTCTTCCTTTGCTTATGTGTTATGATCAGGATTTTGTAGTTTTAAGAGGGAGGGCCTAGGAGTAATTGGGCCTATTTCATTTTGGTTGTGACCTTGAGTTGATTTTTGGCAAATTAAATATTGCTTTGAATAAAAACTTAAATACTTGACTAAATTCTCACAAAAGTCAGTAGTTACATAAATGCATCTCTCTATGCTTGCTAAACATTTCCTCTTTGACCTCTCTTCTGCTCATGCCAAATTGAGACTGCATGGAGATTTGAGCAGCAGGATAGACCTGTCCATGAAAAACCAGACGTAAGAGTTCTGTTGGACATAGTAGTTAGCTGTTGTCACAAATCAGGTGAGTCATGTAAGTCAAGTGGAGAGTAGTCAGCCCATGGAAGGGGCAAAGGTAGGTACTAAGGGTTCAGAGAACCAGATTGAGGCCACAGTTTGGGATAAAATTAACACAGAGTGTGTCTCTGAGTTTATAAAAAGGAGTTGGAGGAAATAGGTGTAGTTGACTAGAGTAGAGGGTGATGGGGAGAACAAGGCAGATTTTGTTAATTATTACCTTCCCCTGCCAAACATATTTCCCACATAGACCAGTTATATCAGTTAGGAATGTAATCTGCAGAAAGAGGCTTAAATTGACAAGGGTTTATTTGTTTCTTGAATCAAGAAGAAGGGGTACAGGCAGTTCAGCCATGTCACTGGGAACCAGCCCCTTCCCATCGCTCTCTACATTTCTCAGTGAGTGGGCCTTCTGCCTCACGCTGGTTCTTGTGATTTCAAAATGGCTCATGCACTGCCAGAAGGCAGGGATACAAAACAAAGAGTGGGAGGAAAGGCCTGTATTAGGAAATCCAAGGCTCTCCCATAACTGCAGGGCCGTCTGGGGAACACACCACAGGGAGTTGGCTCATTGCTTCCTGAAACAGTATCAGGTTCTGTTGTCAGGAAGAAGACGCTTCCAGGGCCCGCCTCACCTGACCATTACATTTTCCTCTGGAAAATCACATGCACATGCTTACTGTCGTTCTTTGAGAGGAAGAAGAACAGTATATCAAAAAATAAATCAATGTCTTTTGTACACGTCTTTGTCCAGGCCATGCTTTGTCTACTTTTGCAGTATTCTGCTGTGTACGGAAGTAATGCAAGAGGCAGACATGTCAAAAATGTTTGGGACAACTGAATCTTGAATAATCAAGATTTTATAGAACAAAGAACTGATGTAGAAGTATAGTTCTTATCACGTGGGGAATACCTCTTAGGGAACCATTTCAAATCCCTGGGAGCCTTTTCACACCCTCACTTCTCTTCTGAAATTCTGACTGTTCCTTTTGGGGAAGAGTGAGAATCTCTGCAGTGAAACGAGAGCTGCTGTTGATGCGAGTGTGATCGGGCACATGGGGAAGGCAGGGAAAAGGTTGAGGACCATTTGGAAAGCATTCTCTTTCAGGCCTCTGTTTTTCTTAGTCCGGAAGTATAAATATGCACTTATTATATTGACATTTGTACTATGCACTACTTAAAGTCTGAGAAACCTAAGCAAGTTTTATTCACACCCTGTGAATAAGACCAGCTAATCCTGTTATCTATCATCTTTTTATTATTCTCCCACATCAGCACTAGGTTACGTTCCAGACCAAAGTTCTTAGGTATAGAAGATACTGTTTTCCTTTATGCCTTCTCTCTATGGACACGTGCAAACTGTAAACAGAAGTTGACAGGTGTTTTTACTATTGGTATAAATAATGTTTACATGGGTTTCCTTGTTACTAGATAGGGAGATTGATATTTAGTCAATAACACTGCTAGACCTATATATGCATGTATATCTTTTATTACCAGTATAACTTTGAAAGCCCTTCTGTGTATCATTATGTTATTGCTATAGCAACATGGTTACCAAAACAAGGTTTGGTAACCATGTTTTGTCTTTTTAAAGGAAGACTCTCTCCCCCCCCCCCCTCCCCTCCAAGCTTTAAATCAGCATTGTAAAGTTTCAGTCCCAGATATTCAGTAGTCTTTCTATTTATCTTCTACCCTTGAATTTTCCATACTTATAATTTGTTATTATTTATCACTGTAACATAAAATACAATTTGTATTGGAGTAAATCCTAGTGGGAATTATAAGAATGAATGAAGGGAAGCAATGTTTGATATGGTTAAACAGTGGAGGCCCTGTTATTACCTAGCCCATGATATTGTCTTGAAATCTTTTTGTACTTTTGTTACTTGTCTATAAAATGGTCAGAGAAGCAGCTACATGAATGATATTCACATTACTCTGTGCATGGCAGGAATCCAGTGATGTTTCCAACCACCCCCCCCCCAACACACACCTTTCCATGTGTGTTAACT